AGAGTGAGCAGGGGGGAGGGAAGGAGAGTGAGCGGGGGGAGGGAGGGAGGGAGGGAGGGAGGGAGGGAGGGAGGGAGAGAGAGAAAGAGAGAGAGAGAAAGAGAGAAAGAGAGAGAGAGAGAGAGAGAGAGAGAGAAAGAGAGAAAGAGAGAAAAAGAGAAAGAAAGAGAAAAAAAAAGAAAAAAAAAGAAAAAAAAAGAAAGAAAAAAACCTGCAGAAAAGGTTTCTCAAAGACCGTAACAATTGCCCGCGTCCATCACGAGGGCAAGCCGGGGCCGGTTCCTCCTCGCACATGCCCGACGTCTTTCAGAAACGTCTCCGGTGACGTGGGCGAGGGGTAGCCACATCCCTTGCACTCGGCCCCGGGCACGAACCCTGTCAACTCCCATGCACTCCTTTGCAACACGGGGGGGGAAGAGGGAGGGAGGGAGGGAGGGAGGGAGGAAGGGAGGGAGAGAGGGGGAGAGGGAGGGAGGGAGGGAGGGAAGGAGGGAGGGAGGGAGGGAAGGGGAGAGGGTGGAAGGAAGGGAGGGAGAGAGGGGGAGAGGGAGGGAGGGAGGGACGGAGGAAAGGAGAGAGAGAAGAGAGAGAAAAGAGAGAGAGAGAGATACATAAATACATACGAGAGAAAGAGGAGGGATGAAAGAGAGAGAAACACACACACACACACACAAACACCCCCCCCCACACACACACACACAAACACCCCCCCCCCCCCCCACACACACACACACAAACACCCACCCACACAAAAGAAAGACCGAAAAAGAACGCCAATGACCACAATCGTCTCCCTAAACAGGAAAGCAGTCTTTAATGGCGTCTACAATTAGTCAACGTTAACAGCAGACGACAATAACAGCTGTTAACAGGAACGAACAGCCGCGGCCACTAACTAAGAGTAAACTTGTTAAACTTGTTGCTTTTATCTGTGTGTTCACTTGTCATTTATGCCTCGATTCGATTCCTTACTCAGCATTCGTTTCATAATGTTTCGGTTTTGCTTCGGTTTTCTTCACTGAACCGAATCTTTTGGGGGATTAGGAAAAGGTTGGGATATATATATATATATATATATATATATATATATATATATATATATATATATATATATATATATATATACGACGAAGGAGTGAAAAGAAAGAAAGAAAAAAAATAGGGATAGTGAGGTAAGAGAGTGAGGGAAGAAGACGGGCGGAAAGAGTGAGAGGAGGAGAAAGAGGAAGAAGAGGAGGAGGAGGAAAAAGAGTGAGAAGAGAAAGAGGAAGAAGAAGAGTAGGAGGAAAAATGAGGAAGAAGAGGAGGAGGAAAAAAGAGGAAGAAGCGGAAGAGGAAGAGGAGGAAGAAAAAAAGAGGAAGAGGAGGAGGAGGAGGAGGAAAAAGAGGAGGAAGAGGAGGAAGAGGAGAAAAAAGAGAAAGAAGAGGAGGAGAAGAGGAGGAGGAGGAGGAGGAAGAAGAGGACTTAGAAGAGAGTATACAATCAAGGGGAGAAAGAAATGATGAACGAAGAAAGAATAAGTAAAAAGGTGGAGGAGAAAGAAAGACAATAGAAAAAGAGGAGAAACGGGGGAAGGAGGGAAAAAAAAGAAAAATCAGGAGAATGACAAAAAGGGAGAACATAAAAAGGAGGAAGAGGAGAAGTAGGAAAAGGCGAAAGAGAAGAGGCAGACACAGAAAGAAAGAAACGAGAAAGATAATCCAAAGGAAAAGACGAAGGCAGAGGTAGACAACGAAGAAAAGAAGAGAGAAAACCGAGAAAGAAAAAAGAGAGAAGTGAGCAAAAGAGGAGAGAGAAAAAAAACACAAGAAAAGAAATGATAATAAGAACGAGAATGAAAAACAAAAACAAACACAAACAACCAACCAAAAAACGAAAAATGAAAGAAAAAATGAAAACAAGAATAAAAAACAACAAAAGAAAAAAAATTGAAAGAAAATGAAAACAAACATGAAAAACGACAACAAAAAAGAAAAAAAAAAAAACAGAACAAGCATAAAAAAAAGAGATCGAGAATGAAATAAAAAAAAAGAAAGAAAAAGAAAAAAAAGAGTAAAATAAGAACATCTGAGTTCACGCGGTGCATATGTATGGATCTGCTCGGAAAAGGTCGGCTGTTCTCACTGCCTCTTCGGGAGAGTTAATGGCGACATGACCTGCCTATCAGATAAGGTCACGAACGGGGGGGGGGGGGGAGAGGAAGGATGGGAGAGGAGGAGGAGGAGGAGGAGGAGAAGGAGGAGGGAGGGAGAGGGGATGAGGATGTGGTGGGGGATAAGAGGAAGGGGGGAGGGGATAGGAAGAGGGGAGGGGGTAGGGAGGAGGAGGGGATAGGAAGAGGGAGGGGGTAGGTAGGGGGAGGGGAAAGGATGGGGTGGTGGGTAAGGGACAGGATGGGGAGGGAGAAGGAGATAAGATGGGGTAGGGAGAAGGGGATAGGATGGGTGGGGGTAAGGGACAGGATGGGGAGGGGGAAGGGGATAGGATGGGGGTGGGGGG